GTTACTCTTTCACGTGAAAACTACTACACGGATCTGCATGAAATTTGGCACAGAGATAGATTATACCTGGAATAATATTACTGGCAGAAGCTCGAAGAATTTATAAAACCAATTATATAATTATGTTAATATATCATGATGTTTATTAATGTGTTCACACCAACTGATGTGATGCGCATAATTAGTGAATATTTACTGAGGTTTTTATTATTATTTTGTTTTAGATGAATGTCGCGATACTGAACTAGTTTCTATAAGATATGAGAATGTCGTCTCAAAATGACAGGGATATATTTATATCAAAATCGAATCTAATGAATACAAATCTGTATTTTGAAGATTTGGCACCACAAAAATTCACTTTGAAATGGTTAGACTTCATAATCTGAATAGGACTGTTGTTCGTTGTGCGAAAAATCTAAAGATGAATTTTAAAATACAACCTGGGTCCTCGAGCTCGAATAACAAGCTAATTAATGGCTTCATCTAGACGTTTTATAATGTTGAGTAAGAATTCTGTTTTATTGTCTTTTTACAAAAAAAAATTTCTTGCTGATTAATCTTACCTGGACATTAGAAGATAAGCCGATTATGCTATCAGCCGGAGTTGCGGGGCAATCGCAGAGCAGGAGAAAGGGGGGATTTTAGTTAGTAAGAATCTGACATTCCTTCTCGCCTCACCCAGAGAAAAGAAAGAATCTCAGGTTGGGGTAGACTTAACTTAGCCCAATTTAACCCCACAAAGACACAGGTCTGCGTGTGCACAGACCTATGTCTTTGGTCGTATCTCCTCAATTTCAGAGAACACACACTCTCCTCGGCCGGTATTGGGATACTTGGCGTCGACATATCGAGCGAAGTCCAGTTTCGCGGTCATCTAGAGGGTAAGGCCAAGTTAGCCTCGAAGAAGCTTGGTGTGCTCAATAGATCGAGGCATTATTTCACCCCGGAGCATCGCCTGCTACTTTACAAGGCGCAAGTTCGGCCCCATATGGAATACTGTTCTCATCTTTGGGCGGGGGCACCCCAGTACCAGCTTCTCCCTCTGGACCGCATTCAGCGACGAGCTATCCGAATCGTTGACTGCCCTGTTGTCTCGGACCGGCTGGGCTCTTTGGCACTGCGTAGGGATGTAGCCTCGATATGTATTCTATACCGCCTTTATCACGGGGAGTGTTCTGAGGAATTGTTCGGTTTGATCCCCGCCGCATCTTTTCGCTATCGTTCCACGCGAAAACATGTTCATCCTCATCACAAAGATGGCTGGCAGTCAACAACTGTGCGATTCTCGCGAACTTTCTGCCCCGCACAGCAAAGCTTTAGAATGATCTTCCGGCGGCGGTATTCCTGAACCGATACGACCTTCAAACCTTCACGAAACGAGCGTACTTCTTCTTAAAAGGCCGGCAACACACCTGTGACTCCTCTGGTGTTGCAGGTGTCCATGGGCGGCGCCGATCGCTTAACATAAGGTGATCCGTCTGCTCGTATTCCATAAAAAAAAGAGAAGTCATTTGATGAATTTTCCCTCACAAAACAGCCGATTGTATTTTATTTATTTATCTTACATTTACATATTTGCATAAAAACACGATATAAAGGAAAAAAACACGGTATAAAAGATAGTATCAATGTTAAATACGTTTTTGCTTAACATTACAAGCGTGCAAATTGTACAAAGAGGTACTACTGAGGTTGTACTTAGTCGTATAGAATTAGTGCAGTGTGACAGTGCTAGTAATAGTTGTAATAGTGGGTATAATTTATAGCCGGTGCAGTGAAACTAACTCGACACGGCGTACTACGGGTGTGGAGTACTTTCGTTTTCAACACATTGTTGTCTACCGGCGCGGGGCAACTCGCCTCCGCATTCACTGTGATCCTGTCCGAATACATTACAGCTTAATACTCCAGTTACTATTGTATCTATGTTCAATATAAAATAGGCGACGAGTAAAGCTGTTTATACATTCGGTTTTTCTTTATTTTGTAGTTTAAGTTCACATCACATCACATAATCAGCCTATAAGTGCCTAATACTGAGCAAATGCCTCTTCTCGCACGAAGAAGATTTGAGCATTAATCGGTTTGGCGATTTCAAATTTATAATATTAGAATAAGTCCAGGTTTCCTCACGATATTTTCCTTCACCGTGCGTCAGTGGTGTCTAAATAATCATAGAAAGTACATATAACTCGGAAAAAATTACATTGGTACTTGCCAAGTTTCGCATCCGCACACTCATGCATGAGAATCGGGCGCCTTAACCTACGGGCCACCAAGACACGTTTGGTTTCTAGGATCCTTTAAAGCTTGTCGTGACTTGTCAACGCAATCAACTGCGGCGCTTCATAGAGCCACGAATGAGGTCCATTAGGCCCGATGTCTATTCAAGTTCATGCTAAGGATGCGGGTTTGAAACCTGGCAGTCTGTCAGTTTGTTCGTCAGTGAAGCTACGTGCTTATTCCAATGTTTAGATTTGAATGAAGAATGAGAAACTCTGAAGTTTTTATTTATTTATATACAATTAAACAATGAAACAATGAATTTATTTTTGCAAATAGGCCATAAAACGGCACTTTTACACGTCAATTTATATATGAAAAACTAGAAGAAGCCGGTAGTTTTATAGATTTAAAAAATATATGTTTTGCAAGCTCGCGAATATATTCTTTAATACACATTATTGTACCTATATGTAAGAACAATATAGAGATCACGGTGGGATTAAATTTTAAATGCTTTATCGTCTCAAACATGGTGCTTACATACGCAATTGTGGTGATTAATGCTTAAACCTTGTCCGTGTGACAAAAGGCTTTTGCTCAGCAGTGAGCATTTATATTCGACTCGACCGTAGTGATACCACGGCTTTACGTAGAAAACAGGCGTGAAATAACAACAGCGTTGTGTTTCGCCACGTGAGTGAGGTTACCGGAGACACAACCCTTTCCCTCCCCCGTATCTTTCCAATCATTAAATATCCCTTATCCCCATACTCCTTTGGTGTTGTCCATGGGCGGCGCCGATTGCTTACGATCAGGTAATCCACCTGCTCATTTACCAAAATACCTCATACTAGCTACTCTCTCGCGGTTTCATCCGCTGCTCGGCTCCATTTAATCGTAGCGTGATGTTTTATAGCCTATAGAACTCAGGAACATTGTAGCTATCTATCAGTGAAAGAATTTTGGCAATCCGACCAACGGTTCCAAAGATTGCCCACTACATACAAACTTAAAAATTTTACCTCTTTATAATATTAGTATAGACTAGTATAGAAAATAAAGAATTGCCTCGATTAGTGTGGACCAACAGTTATAGCTTACTGTGTACGAACAGTCGCCCACTAACGCAGAACGGAAGTATCGCCTCCACAACCGTAAGACACCTGTACCAGTGCCAAACAGAAAATATAATATGAACTATACGACTAATGTTATAAAGAGAAAAGATTTGATTATTTGTTTGTCTATGCTGAATTGGCTCTGAAACTACTTGACCGTTTTAAAAGTGCTTTACTCTTTGGACGCTAGCTAACTAACATAGGCTATATCACGATATCTACACGAATGAAATTGCGGAACACAGCTGTTAAAATATTATGTAGATATGTTAAGTTGAAATGTAATATAGGTCATGAAGATCGCATTCTAGTGCTTAGTTAAGATTCAGAGCTGAAGACATGGCATTAGTTGAAAGGTCCAGTTCTATTTTTCAAAAAACTCTTTTTTTAATTTTGCTCCTATTTGTTTCGATATGTAGACATATACGAATTGAAAATTAGTGAAATTGAGATTTCACTGCAACGTCATAAAGAAAACGAAATGAACCAAAGCGAGAAATACTTAGACTACACATAACTCGCACCACTTTGCACGGACAAACTGACCAACTAAACCGACTTATTTGCACACAGCTCGCTATAAATCTCACATTATGTTACAAAGCCGAGAACTACTCACAATAACGCGACAACTACAATATATCTTTCCTCAATGCAAATATAGGGGAAAACGATCGCGAAACAGTTTTGAAACCATAAATATTTGAGTAAAGCTATTGAACACGAGCCTCGCTCGAGCATTATACACAATTACAGTCGTCATTTATCAAGAGTTATCACCGCTTGAATAATAACCGGTGAGCGAGAATCAATTACGGGTGGGTGGTGTGAAATTTGCGTGTAGTGTGCTGCCGCGCCTTCGATATTGACGGTTTTTATTGGTGGGATTTTTTGCGGGAGTCACACTAGGAACTGTTCACAATAGGTGCTTCTTTGGCCTTGCCGCCCCAGACCAAAACCAGACCCGAACGTACGTACGGCTTCGCGAGAACCTTAAACAACTCACCACAGAATAGGCCCAAGAGAGCCGATATTCAGCCGGGTCAAGATACCGCGGTCTCGACTTGGAGTTCGAATTTCGTATCCAAAAAGATATCAACGAGACTCCGGGACTAGTAAATCTCTACTATTTGTCCGGCCGTATGTCGGGTCGGTCGTTTCTCATGAAATGTGGTAGAAAAAAAAAACATTTAAAGAACTCAAAGTAAAAATCATTTATTTTAAGTAAACTATAAATAGATACTTTTGAAACGTCCAAACAGAATAGTGGTCTCAGTCTGTTCCTGATGATTCATGATTGATACATGTAGCCTCATTGGTTTCTGTTAACTTATAGGATGAGCCTTCGCTTTCTTGTAATACGAAAGCTTAGAATTCTAAGACAGGAAATGTAAGGTAAGGAAAGTAGCAGGAAAAAGAACGGAAGGAGTGTAAATAGGGAATAAATTAATAACTTTCGCTATTCAAAAAAATGCATGTTTATTTTCTACGTTTAGCTAAAAGTAATAGAGTTTAATCGACGGTATCCATACTAAATTAACTAAAAATCGCGGGTTACGCACGTTAGTAACTGAGAAAAGCTCTACTAGTTTCGAACCACAGAGGGGTTATGAATGGTGCGTTGGACTCGCCGCAGCGCAACCATCAACAGCGATGCAGGCGCCAACGCTAACCAGTAGGCTGCGCGACGTCGCCGCGTCCGCGCACGCTGCTCATGAGGAAGAACCCCTCTGTGGTTCGAAACTAGTAGAGCTTTTCTCAATTACAAACGTGAGTAACCCGCTATTTTTAGTTAATTTAGTATGTCTCACGATAGATATCCATACTATCAGACATCACGTTGCAATTGCAAACTCCAATAAAAACGCAAGAGAATTTAAATTCACATTCCATAGATTACAAATACAACAGAAACACGCATCCAACAACATACATTCAACTAATCTTCTTAAAACCAACATTAACCCTATAACCGCCGCGTGATATCGTAAATCAACATGAATAGTCTCGATAGGCCAACCCTCCCGCGCCGCGTTGGGTCTCGCCGGCCCACAATCGGCTCGATGACATGTTTATGAGGTCGCGCGCCCATTATACCGGACTTACTTTGTATTTTATAAAAAAAGGACGATTCTACTTAGAAAGGGTAACGGAATCATTTTGGTATTGTAATAAAAGTTAATCTGAAGTATTCGAGGTACAGCTTCTTCTTTTTATTTTGTCATCTTTTTAAATAAACGTTCTATTCTAAGATTGTTTCCCATGTCATAGGTTCGTTTACAAGCATACCTACAAAATCAAATACACATCATACCCATACCCGGAATAAATTGATCACACAAAGAATTATTCCGTGCGGGAGTTATACCTGTTACCCAACAACTGCACATATAATTGTGCAGTGTACATTAATAATTGTGAGTAGGGATTACGACGATAACATTCTTAAAATGGCAATCACACTTTTTTAACAAAACTAAAGCTGTAGGACAATACCTAATACATAAAAAACAAATAATGTTTCATAATAATATTATTATGTACTAATAGGTAACATAACCACTAAGAGGTTAGAATCAGTCAAGGACGAACAAACATAAATAATATATCTGAATAAAAAGATTCGAATCGAATTGAGTAAAATAAACATAGTGTCTTTAATTTCAGAATTTTTCGGAATATTTATGCATACAAACTTTTAGGTTCATTCATGCAAAATCATCCGAACGTAAAAAAAATTACACTTTTTACATGTAAAAAAACCGCATCAAAATCCGTCAAGTAGTTTTAAAGATCTTAGCATATTACACAGGTACACCCAGCGGAAAGCGATTTTGTTTCAAGTGTAATATGTATGAATTTGCTAGCTAAGCTACCTTGTAAGATCAGAACGCGGCTCAAGCTTTGTCGGCTGACAAATTGACATCGTCACTGATACACTTTAAATTTACGAGTATTACACAACATTACGACGCACCAACACTTAGTCAACCGCGCTCCATTAAAAACTCGTAAAAGTTAAATAACGGTTTGAAAGTGAGAACGACAGGGTCTGAGAGACCGACTCTGTGGCGGTTTAAGGGTTTTTAGGTTTAATTCAGGAAACGAGGAAACGGATTACCTGATGTCTAGGATGGCGGGGGGAGGTGAGAAGAATTAGACCTCCGATAAACTGCTGATCAATCAAATCAATCACCCAATAAGTTGTTTTTAATTTGAGAACCACGTAAGCTTATTCCTGTGGTCTTTTGTAGAAAGAACTACAAAAGTTTGAGTGGATCCGTACTGACGGCACTTACACTATTAAGGTATAGCTAGGTACGTTACGTTATACGACAAATGATATCTAATTTTCGCGGCGATTACTTATCAATACAGCTGTAATCCTTAACTAATTAAATATCTTAAGTACCTTATTAATTAACACAGATCTACATATATGCGCCTTATGATAAAAATTCATATCTTCGAAGACAGATTATATAACAGATTTTCTATAGTGTATTTAGTATCAGTCTTGCTTCCGGGCGAAGCCGGGGCGTTTCTCTAGTGCAGATATAAAATGCAATATCAAAATATCTCGGACACAATGTTTTCCATCGCTTTGCGCATACTCCTACAGAACTGTTGCGTTTCTTTATTTGTTCGTATTGTCATTGGCATCGTCGCTTTGCTCCGTTGTGAAATATGGCGGCGCCTGATTATCCTGACTTGAAGTACTTTCGATATTTACCTTTGATTTAGTAAATCAAACGACCGACTTCATGTCATTTATTATATCCGACAGAAACCCAAGGGGACCGCGAGCAAGGATAGCATCCCGACTAGGTCCAGATTTAAGCCTGCATTTTGCATATGCTTGAAATAGCCGTCGGACCACAAGGCCAGATGTTCAGTTAGGATTTTGGGTGCAGGGCCAATAAAGTATCGCGGTCTCGGCACCTTACAGGAGAAGGAGCGGAGTGGTTTTTATTGAGTTAGTGTCTGGCACTCCCTCTCGTCTCACTCAGAGTGGAAAAAAACATACGAATGATTTTACGACAGCAAAAAAATTGTTGCAAGTTTTATTGCCGAACTAACAGTTTTGATTCCTGGACCCGAATGAGAAGCTTTACTAAATATATAAATTATAATAGGAAAAAGCCTCTAATGAATCCGGGTAACAGCAAGGTACATTTTCTACTATAGTTTTTTTATGTCATAGAACGGCAAACGAGCACACAGTTTACCTGATGTGTTGTTACGAGTGCGTTCACGACCTTTTGGGAATTAGGGTTTCGGGAGATTTAGGGATTGGGGAAGAAGAAGAATTCGGCCGCCAAAAACCTCATTGACACAGCGAAACAACGCTGTAGTTGTTTCACTCCGATTTTCTGTGAGGCCGACACATTCGTGTCAAAGCAGGGCTCTCCCACACTTTGATGACCGTTACAGTAGAAATAACAATCTATTTTTATATATCCGTAGCTAGGTATTGTATTTGAGAGTCTCGGATACGCCTCCACCTATACCAATGAATGCTCCTAATAAATAAAACGTATTAAAAACCATTTAAAAATATAAAGCAAAATTATTATCGAAGTTCCATTCATTAGGATCAAATAATGCTTTATTTGAATACGCGAGTTATAATTATAAGGAGCAGGGGATCCCGTGTGGTCTACAAGGAGATTCTATGGGCTATTGTTGATGTGAGCGCGTTTTCGTTGATGCACGTCATGCGGGATTCTATTAATAGTACCTAAACATTATTGTATAGTTCATGGACTGTATTTATAACTGGTGTCGACGTGGGTTGACTTGAGACACATACCATTGGAACGAAGTAGAGTCAGCTGGTTGATCTACCTCTGCATCAATGGTGTGGGGAAAAGTATATAAATAATGTAAACAACGAGCCATAAAGAGATTTTTTTTTTAACGCCGCCCATGGACACTCCCAACCGAGGAGTTACGACCTTTTAGGGATTAGGGATTTGGAGATTTAGGGATTGGGGAAGGGTCCAGGAAGGGGAAGGATTGGGCCTTGATTTTTAGTGGGTAATGAGTTTTTGGCCTACTATTGGCGATGAAAAGATTCTAACTAGCGCCTCTAGTGTCAAAATTCTGAAGCTGTCTAAGAACGGCACTTTGAAAGTTTTCCTAACAATTAACGTCAAGGAAAATTCAATAAATAAACAAACAGTGTCATTCTTAGTCAGTTTCTAAATTTTGCCGCTAGAGGCGTGCGGATAATCTTTGCATCGCCAATATTTAACAAACAAATTTGTTTATTGTAAGTCGAATCTTTTTCTTACTTTTTTTCTGTCTATAGTTTTACTTTATGAATGTGTCGAATTGAATCGCAAACTGCAAAAAAAGAATTTGGCATTTTTATTTATCAAAACGAAATGGAAGGCGTTAACACGAACCTCAATTTATGGTTTCAATTTACTTTAGTTTGGAAATTATTGTTAATTATCGTCTTTTAGGGTTCCTTAGCCACATGGCAAAAAAACGGAAGGTCCGTCTTGTCTGTCTGTCACGTCTGCTGGTCCGTTCGTCTGTTAGCGACACATAAGAACTTATTTTAAAACTCGTCAGTGTCGCGTTCTGTTAACCGCATTAAGAATTTAAAAATTGTGAACTCTCCAGTTCGCTGTATTTCTGTGAGGCCGTGTTATCACTCAGGTCGAGTCGTTCGACTCCCATTCGTGCCGAAGCATGGCTCTTCCACACTTAAAATGCTACTTTCTGTGGAAACCCTGCAGACTAGTCTCACCCGCTCTTAGCTGCTGTAGGTTCATTACTGTGCATACCATTATCTCTTATCTGACCGTTTCAGTGACCCACAATAAGTCAGCTTGTGTTAATCTTAAAAAAGTTATCGACTGTTCGCAAATTAAGATCTTAAATACAGGTTTAATGGTCAACAGATGTGAGTGACATATTTAGGCGCATTACTGGTATCAGACGATTGATGGAAGAACAAAAACCTGCCAGCAACATATATTTTGGGTTCGCTCACGATAAGTACGGAATCAAAATGGTGCTCATTGTATGGTTGTTTTATAGGAAGGAAAAATCCATCAAGTGACTTCTCCCATTCTGGGTTAGACGAGTGTCAGTACCAGACAGACAGTGGTGAGATTGAGACGCTTGTAAATTTAGCCACTCGGCGAAACACAACGGATTCACATCGGTTTTATATGAGGCCATAGTATCAGTCTGTTCGAGCCCGTCCTTGCCGTAACATGGTTATTCCACACTTAAAAGTGATATAATACAGTTTTAGAAAATGGTAAGCGTATTCAATTACATCAATATCGTGTGTCAATGGACACCGACCCATTCTCCCAAGTATAGCGCACCGCTGCGCGACACTTAATACTTCCTCCGGGGACGGGTTTGAATAATGTGACAATAACGACCCATTTCTTTGAGTTATCTACATTTTCATCCCGCAGGGTCCGACAGATCCGCCTCTCGTTTTATAATGATTATTTAATAGCCGGCGTTTTAGGGTTGATGTATGACGTCATAATTAACGAGTACAATAGATTTAATCGGTTTCGGATTTGTAATTAGTTGTAGATATTTGTTGAAGGATGTTTTCTCTGACGATTTATTAAGGTAGTTCGGTTGAATCGAATTCCATTTGTGACATTTTTATTTAAAGATACTAATATATTTATTGACTCCATTATTTTGTTGTTAGGAGAAAAAACGTAGACATTTTTTCATTGATGTTTTTTTTTAATTGTTCCTTTTTATGTAATGCGACGGCAAAC